TGGATGGATGGATGGGTGGGTGGGTGGATGGATGGATGGATGGATGGATGGGTGGATGGATGGATGAATATATAGGCAAGTATCAGGTGCAGAAGGAGCATTGGGAGGGGTAGTCAGCCAAACTGGGGAAGTTGAGTCAGGCTTCCTGGAAGAAATGATGCCCAAACGTAGACTTACAGAATGAATAGTGAAGGGAGGGCAGTGTGGAAGGGGAAAGTAGTGGAAAACATCATAGGCAGCAGCTCCGCATCGGGAAGGCTTGGTTTGTGTGCCTTGCCAAAGGAAGTTGGGAGAGCTAGATAACTGGATACTCATTCCCAAAACAGGGAAAATAACCAGAATATTTTGTCACTAAGCAGAAATATCCAAGTTACATACATTGTAAGCTGCTAAAAATCTGAAAAAAAAATTATCCATCAGAGTCACTGACAGATACCTGTTACTTTCCAGAATAATCCAGCTCTATGTTCCTTTAGTAGAATTCACTAAGCACCCCACAGACCTCTGCAATGATGAGGAAAAATCCAACCTGACAGATGAAGTGAGGATGGAGAAAGTGACTCTTTGGCCAGATCATTAAGAGGGTCATGTCAGTTTATTTCAGCAAAACATTGTTAGAGGTTTCTAATGCTAAAAGGCTTCCTCTTCCCACCCACCCTGATTTCCATGTAAGGTTTAGGTTTGAAAAAGGAGTCAGATTAATTTAGTAACAGTGTGCATTAAGAGATTTTTTTTATTATGAGACCAAACATACCTAAGATTACCATAGTTTTATGTAACAAAATACAGTTTTAACTTGTTAAACTTTGACATGGTCCAGACAAAGTGAATCAGCTTATTTGTTAAAAGAAAAAACAAAAAACAGCAAGCAAACAAATACTGATTTCAAAAGACCAAGGTATATTTGCTTTTTCTTTTTCCTTAGCTAAATTTTGCAGAATTTACTTATGTATTTATGTATTTTCCCAGACTTGGTGCAGGCGTGGTTGGAATTGTTAATATACCCTTGGAGATCATGGAGCCATCCCATAATAAGCAGGAATTTCTCAATGTCCAAGAGTATAATCATCTACTAAGAGTCATGGGGCAGTACTTGGTCCAGTACTGTAAGGACACCGGGATCAGTGAGTATTCAATGGTCACAGTAAGAGATACTTAATCGAGAGTCAACTTGTGTGATTTCTTTAAGCTGGAATGATTGCACTGATTTAAGCAACTGGTAGCCCAAAGCCCTGAAAGAGAGCTCCTTTTATTTATTAAAATAATAATAATATGGATGCCTGGGTGGCTCAGTCAGTTAAGAGTCTGCCTTTGGCTCAGGTCATGATCCCAGGGTCCTGGGATTGAGTCCCATGTTGGGCTCTCTGCTCAGTGGGGAGTCTGTTTGTCCCTCTCCCTGTCAAGTGCTCTCTCTCTCTCTCAAATAAGATCTTTTAAAAATAATAATAAATAAGAGAAATGAGAAAGGAGCCAGTCTCAGAATCTTTCCCAGAATATTATGTGAAAAATGAAGCAACAGATTAAAAACTGTAAGAGAGGGCAGTCAGTAGAATGAGAGCTGATCATGGAGGAAGGAAGCAGAAGTTTGCTTGAGGAAGGCCTAGGGGGCCACTCCAAGACTCTACTGTGTGGGAAGGAGCACATAGTTCCATACAGACTTGAGAAGCTCCCCTAGCATTGTTATGTCATGCTGTAGCATAATCATTGTTGACCCTGGATAATCGTAGATGTGTGTTAAACCTTGTTTTGTAAGGTTAACAAGTCTAGAATATGTTAATGAAGATTTCGATTAAAAATCACTGAAATAAATATATTCAGAAACTTTTTTTTTTCAAGATTTTATTTATTTGACAGAGAGAGACACAGCGAGAGAGTGAACACAAGCAGGGGGAGTGGGAGAGGGAGAAGCAGGCCTCCCGCCGAGCAGGGAGCCCGATGTGGGGCTCCATCCCAGGACCCTGGGATCATGACCCGAGCCGAAGGCAGACACTCAACGACTGAGCCACCCAGGCGCCCCTATTCAGAAACTTTTTAAAAAAATCTTATTTATTTATTTATGAGAGCATGCAAGTGTGTGAGCAGGGGAGAGGAGCAAAGGGAGAGGGAGAAGCAGGCTTCCAGCTGAGCAGGGAGCCCCATGCAGGGTTCAGTCCCGGGACCCTGGGGTCATGACCTGAGCTGAAGATGCTCAACTGACTGAGCCACCTAGGTGCGCCCCCTTTTTAAATTTTGTTTATTTATTTATTGATGAGAGAGAGAGAGAGTGCGTGAGCAGTGGGGAGGAGCAGAGGGAGAGGGAGAAACAGGCTCCCAGGTGAGCAGGGTGCCCATCTGTTCAGAAACTTAAGATAAACTTTAGTTATCTGGAAAATTTCGCTTATTCAGACCACTTCATTCTCCAGAGATACCTGAACAATGAGATGGTGTGCTGTGCATTAATGAAATAAACTTCCTTTAAGTTATGCAGACATAAGGCTTCATTTATGGAAAGAAATAGATAGGCTACTGTGTTTGTGCAATGATTTTCATGAAGTATGTATAATTCATGCATATCAAAAATTATGTCTCTACCCTTGAGACAACTTAAAATCTTACTGCTCCACTTGAAGTTGTGATTTTAGAATATTTTCTTTTCTTTTGTACTCAGCTCAGCACTGAAATTTTCTTACAGCCGTGAAACAGGAAAGAGTACAGGAACTCAGGGGAGAAAAAAGAGAGTGGGATGAAGGTGCAGGCACAGATTCCCTGCCAAAGCTGGGTTTTCATGTCATGGTCTGAAATGTACTCAGAGTGAGCAGCATCAGCATCACCTGAGAGCTCGTTAGATGTGCAGCATATCAGACCTGCTGGCCTACACCCTGTGTGTCAGCAAGATGGCCAGTGATCTGTAGCACGTTTGAGTTTGAGAAGCACTGCTCTGAAGAGTAGATCCATGTAATACTTGCTTAGCATAGACAGACTTTTTCCACATGTATTTTTTTTTTTCTCATAGACATGTCTGAAGTTATACTGAAAGTAGGAACAAGTACCTTATTTGGCAGTTTATGCTTACAGCTATGGAAAACAGAGGGCTAAGCAGAGTGAGATATAAATCAAGGATCGACCCTCTGGTCTTGAAATGCTAGCATGACATAGTACAAAAGAAAAAACATCAAGCATTTGAAAGTTGTGTGACTTCTCCATTCTCCTCATATTTTCTCTGTGACCTTCCTTGTCTTGCTCATGCTTTCAATAAGGAGTAACCTCAGAAAGAGTCATGAAACTTCAAGGTGATAGGAATGATGTCCATCCAGCCCACACTTCCTCAGGACAGTCGTATTTGTACGTATGAGTACTCTTCTGGGGGGACTCTCTTGAAGCCCTTTTCCCTGGTGTGGGGGTGCCCTCCTAACAACTGTACTCTCCACTCTTGGGTGTCGCTTGCCTGCTTCCCCCCCTCTTTGTAACTCCTCATCCCTATCTCAACCTAATTTTTTCAGAAACTTCTCAGTGGATGTACTAAGATTCAAAATAAATTTGTTTTGGCCTTTTGGCCGGAAATGCCAACTTCCAGTAATTCGACAAAAATGACCAACACAAAGGGAAAGAGGAGAGGTACCCACTATATGTTCTCTAGGCCTTGTAGAAAACATGGTGTTGTTCCTTTGGCCACATACATGGGAATCTACAAGAAAGGTGATACTGGGGACATCAAGGGAATGGGCACTGTTCAAAAAGGAATGCCCCACAAATGTCACCATGGCAACACTGGAAGAGTCTACAGTGTTACTCAGCATGTTGTTGGCATGGTTGTAAACAAACAAGTTAAGGGCAAGAGAATTAATGTGTGCATTGAGCATATGAAACACTCAAGGAGCCGAGATAGCTTCCTGAAGCGGGTGAAGGAAAATGATCAGAAAAAGAAGGAAGCCAAAGAGAAAGGTACTTGGGGTCAACAGAAGTGCCAGCCTGCCCCACCCAGAGAAGCACACTTGGTGAGAACTGATGAAAAGGAATCCGAACTGCTGGAACCCAATCCCTAGGAAGTCATGGCATGATAAATGTAAAGAAAATAAAAGACCTCAAGACTGAAAAATTATTTCTCTGAATTGAGTAGAAGTGTGGTGTCCTTTCCCCCCTAAGATATTTAAAGCAAAAAAAAAAAAAAAAGTTAGGTTTGTATTTTAATTATTATTATTAATACCATGTTGTTTTCCTAGTTTCATAATTGCCTATGAATTGATTCCAGGCTAGGGGTACTTTTACAAACGGTGTTCCTCAAGAAGGAAGTCAGGGAGTGAGATAGGAGAGCGAGCATGTGTATCTGTTCACATATATGACAGCCTCATCCCAAAACTTCCTTAACGAACGTTTCAAGTAATCGAGGTCGGAATCGGTAGTCTCAGGAACTGTGCTGAGACCTTCAAAGACTTTGTGTATTAATTCCCACAGGAATAACCAAAGTTATCTAATGCTTGCCTAGTACTCTAAAAGCCAGTATTATAGGGCACACAGTTTTAATGAAAAGTATTTGGGTAGTTTATTGCCTTATAAATAAAAGATGCAATCTTTGTATTTGCTATAAATCTGATCCATTTCTATGGAAAATTGAGGTCTTGTAAAAATCAAATCCACAGAAAGGGAAATGGAGAAGTAATGACTTTGTGTCATTTATCAAATCTGCATTTATGTTTGGTACAGTTGATGCTAAGAACCTTAGAAGTATTTCTCTTTAGTCTGACCTCACCTCATTGTCTACTACTATGTTTCCTGAAGGTTTGTGCATTCTTTTTTTTTTTAAAGATTTTATTTTTTATTTATTCATGAGAGAGAGAGGGAGAGAGAGAGAGAGGCAGAGGGAGAAGCAGGCTCCCAAGGAGCAGGGAGCCCGATGCGGGACTCGATCCCAGGACCCCAGGATCATGACCTGAGCTGAAGGCAGACGCTTAACCCTCTGAGCCACCCAGGCGCCCTGAAGGTTTGTGCATTCTTAAGGTGAAATGGAAATATTGATCATCAGCTTTCTGGAGTAGGGAGAGAAGGAGAAGGAAAAGATAGAAAAAAAACATCAAATGAAATTTGGGTTTGAACAGAAGGAATTACATAGAAATTTATTACTAAAATTTTCTAAAGTGGATCAGAATATATCTGATGTGCTAAGTGAAATCTGGGACATAGTAAGCGTAACCTCTCCTAGCAGAAATCAAACGATAGGGCTTCAGGGGGGCAAGGAGGCTAAAAATCATATAAGCCGGTCACTCCCCTGACCCTTTAATCCCCTCTACCTCACCCACTCCTGCCCCAGGCAAGTGGACCACCATTTTAAGCCTGAATGAGGGTTTCCTGTGAAAGAAAAACTGCCACTTCTTGAGTTAGCCTGTGAATCTCTGCCTTAGAAAAATACATTTTCATATCAGAGTCAAATCTATTTCTCGCGTGTTGTCTCATTCATTGACCTGTGGTAGGCACAGCGTGTTACAGGACTAACGGATCAGACATGGTCCACCCTCTCTGGGAGTTTGCGGTCTAGCAAGGCTAACACCATTTGACAATTAGAAATAGCATTGGTGCCCAACAGAGAAGAAGCCAGTGCTCAGGAGCCAGAGAGGCCTCCTTGAGGAAGTGATGTTTCCTGAAGGATGAGGAGGAGTTAGCCAGGTCAACAAAATTTTTCCCTCTTGGGGCCATGAAGGATAGGCCTAAAGCCTTTCCAAATGACAGCCCCCCAGGTATTTGAAGACAACCTTTCTGTCTCTCTTCATCCTTATTTTATCCTAACATTTCCAAGTTCTGTTGCTATTCTTCATCTGATGGGTGTTAAATATATTTGCCATTTTAATGTAATACTTTATAAAGTGTGCTGGTCACATAGAAATAAAAATTTCAGATGACACCCAGCCTTGAATAAAATGGAATCATCATCTCTTTCTTCTTAAGTTGTTGTAATTCTACTGATGCAACCTGCTATATTAACTCTCAGTAAGCACATTATTGACTTTCAGTGTCCTTATTGCCAATTAAAATTCTTAATAAAAATTTTAATGTGTATTCTTGTTAAGCCATACATTTCTTATATTTTTTTCCATTGTTTTTGGACCCTAGACTAGAATCATACATTCAGTCCTATTAAATGCTATCACCTTAC